TCACGGACTTTCCTGCCTGGGCTGGCTTTGAACCACAATCCTCAGATCTCAGCCTCCTGAGTAGCTAGGATTACAGGCATGAGCCACCGGCACCTGGAAAGCTCTGCTCTTTTTAACATCCATGTCCAGTAAATGCTGACTCACCTGTGATACTTTTATCTGGGGCTTCTCCCAGCCATGGCTCTGCCCCTTGCTCCAGCTTCACAATCACTTCAGGTTTAGGAATGCAGTACCCTGTTAACAGGAAACAGTACAGAACTATGGCCTGGTGTAATGATCTCAGACAACCTGGTAGAGAAAGTATATTCTCATTTCTCCTCAATTCTATAGATGACTTCCTCCCTAAATATGTGCTTTTCATTTTAAATACCAGCTTTAAATTACTGATTTCCACATTCTTGTCTCCAATAGGGATGTATACTTTATAGGAAATGGTATATCAACCTATTATATGATATGTCAAACTTGAGAAGTAAATATAAGTAAATTATATTTCTCATCCTATTTATTTCTCTGCCTCATCCAGGTAAAATTTTGCTTGTGGATCCCATCTCATCATTAAACACACTTAATTTTTTTGTTCTAATTTACAAAGTAGTATAATATTCTTTAAAAGGAAATACATTTGATTTATATTTTTATCTGCAGTCATTAAAATACCAGCACATGTGAATTATCCAACTAACAAGAATTGAAGGAATTTATGAAGTATTAATAAATGCTCAGGGGAAAAGATTTTAGAAATGAACAGTAAAAAAACCACTGAACATGGGACTGCGAAGGTGGCTCAATGGTAGAGTGCTTGCATTGCATGCCTGAGGCCCTGGGTTCGATTCCTCAGCACCACATAAGCAAAAATAAAAAAGCGGGAAGTGGCGCTGTGGCCCAAGTGGTAGAGTGCTAGCCTTGAGCTGAAGAGCTGAGGGACAGCACCCAGGCCCAGAGTTCAGGCCCCATGACCGGACCCCAAAAAAACAAAAACACAAAAAACACTGAACAGACTTAGCGGTAGAGTGCTTGCCTAGCATGCATAAAGCCCTGGGTTTGATTGTTCAGTACCACATAAAAAGAAAAATACAGAAGTGGTCTGAAGCTCAGGGGGTAGAGTTCTAGCCTTGAGCAAAAAAAGAAGATGAGGGACAGTGCTTAGGCCTTGAGTTCAAGCCCCAGGACTGGCAAAAAAGAAAAAAAAAAGCAACTGAACATATAGAAAGTCTAAGACCCAGAAAGTGACTGGAGTCCTAGGTAAGACTTCAACAAACAAAAATGGGGGATACAGTTACACAAGAGACACCAATGAAGACTACATAAGACAGCAATGCATAGGAGCTGTCCTTGGGTGTAGAAGCTATGGAAACTGTTGGAACAGCCACACTGGCTCTGATCTTCACAACTTCCCTATCCAGAATTTACTGAATCACCTCGGAAGCCCTATTCTGAGGGTTCTTCTGGTGTTTGCTCCAGCTTCATAATTAACTCAGATTTGAGAACATAGTGCCCTTTCACCAAACTACTCAGCACCATGAAGAATGACAAGAAGATGGTTTCAGGAGTTGTGCAACCAAATTGAACTTTGTTATGGGGACATGATGGTCCTCAAAGACTAGAATATTATATCTAAATAGAATTAAATCTGATCCATATTCCTATATCTATTAAGAACAAAGCCCTTAGCCAGGCACTAGTGGCTCATGCCTGTAATCCTAGCTACTCAGGGGGCTGAGATCTGAGGATTGCAGTTTAAAGCCAGCCTGGGCAAGCAAGTCCGTCCGTAAGACTCTTATATCCAATAAAATACCAGAGCACTAGCCTTGAGCTGAAGAGCTGAGAAACAGCACCCAGGCCCAGAGTTCAAGCCCCTCAACCAACAAAAAAAAAAAAAAAGAACAAAGTTGTTGTTCCTAGTAATTGATGTGATCTTTGCTCACCCAAGGATACCATGTTGCTATAGGTCTCCAGCATTACATCCCTATACAGGGTCCTCTGGGCACCATTCAGGTCCTTCCACTCCTCCCAGCTGAAGTCCATAGACACATCCTCAAAGGATACCAACCCCTGAAACGGCACATTTCAAAAAGTCATTAACCCTGAGTCATGAGAAAACCAACTCTGAGGATTTCATTCCTTTACATGTATGTTTCTGTCGTGCATAAAATGGTTCAAGCTTGCTCTGTTATCTATGCAGTATGGGAAAGTAAAGTTCAAGTAGAAATATCTGCCTCTATACTAACTTATAAATTACTAAAGCAAAGTTTCCCTTATCAATCAGGAAATGTTTTTTGTTGCTAGCAAGAGAAGATAAGGTAAAAATGATCTTCCAGGACCCAATGATCTGCACTAAAGACATCAATTACAAATAGATGCCTAGAATCTAAACTATACAGAACTCCATCAGGCAATAACAAGAGTTGCATACCACATTAGCATATCAAAAAAACACAGTGTCCAGGTAAATGCTAAAGAAAGTAACAGTAATCAAGAAATTGATTACTAATGATTTAGGACATAGAAAATTTTACTTAAGTTTGATGTGCTCATTGTTGTTAGTATATCCCTAAAGATGTTTTGAGGCCTCCCTTATATTTCATTCCTAAATTCTAAATAACTGGTAGCATTACCCACCATCTATAATACAGAACATAAATGAGAGGGAATAAAATGTGCCTTAACCATATATGCATTACTAGTTCCTCTTGGAAGGATGGAAGGGATATGGAAAGAAATAAGAAGCAGAATATAAGAAAGCAGTGTGAGACATGACTACCCACAGCAGAGCAAAAAAAAAAAAAGTAAAATTGGGGAATTGATCAAAAAAATTTGGAAGAAAATAAAGGAGGATGCAAGAGAATTTGGTACTAATATGTTGTACATAGGACACAAGGAGAGTTTTATTCCCATGCTGAGTCTCACTACAAAGAAAGAATGTCCAACCCTCTTTCTACTTTTGCTATGTTTAGCAACATTAGAAATAAATGCTGACCCCAAACACACAGAAAGGAAATATATCTGTAAAGGGTTCACAGAACACAACCTTCAATTCACAATCTTCTGCCCAGAGGAGCTATTCTAATAATGTAGATTGAACATATTTTCAGATAAAGATACTTTATCAGCAGTATACTTGCACTCCCAGAGTGCTACATGAAATTGTCCTGCTTAGAAAATGACAAAAGGTGCAAACTTAGACATACTGATGGGACCAGGACCAGATCTGTCAGTAAGTATAAAAGAACATCTACACACATACACACACATTCAAACATACACATACACAGACACATATATATTTGTTTTATGTAATTTTTTAAATGATGGCATCAAGTAAAACTGACAATAGAGCCAGTGCTGGTGGCTCATGCCTGTAATCCTAGCTACTCAGGAGGCTGAAATCTGAGGATCATGGTTCAAAGTCAGCCTGGGCAAAAAGTCTGTGAGACTCTTATCTGCAATAAACCACCAGAAAACCAGAAGTGGCACTATGGCTCAAGTGGTAGAGCACTTGCCTTGAGCTGAAGAGCCCAGATCCAGAGTTCAAGCCCCATCACCGACAAAAAACAAAACAAAACAAAACAACTTGTACTACACAGCAAACCTGTCTTCAAATTAACATAAGCCGGGCACCAGTGGCTCTTGCCTGTAATCCTAGCTACTAAGGAGGCTGAGATCTGAGGATCACAGTTCAAAGCCAGCCCAGGCAGGAAAGTCCATGAGACTCTTATCTTCAATAAACCAACAGAAAACCAGAAGTAGCGCTATGGCTCAAGTGGTACAGTGCTATCCTTGAGCTGAAAAGCTGAGGGACAGAGCCCAGGCCCAGAGTTCAGGCCCCAAGACCTGCAAAACACACACACACACACACACACACACACACACACACACACACACAGAAAGGCCATAGACAACATCATCAAATATAGCATAAGTTCAAGTTAAAAAAACAACACTAAAAAGACTATAATTTAAGTCACTAATGAGCTTTTGGAAAAACATGCAACTCTATACAGTCTGTTGCATTCCTTACAGAAAATACACACCAGCCAAGGGTTATGTGTAGACAGTCATTTGAGTATATAGCTTATTCAGGGCTCTAACATTCAGAGATGTTTGGGATCACATTAATTCAGTAATTCCAGAAAAATGTCACTAACATAGTTTAACATCATTAAGATTTTTCAGACCAATGGCCAGCAAATATTTGCATTCCATAAGATGTTAGCATGCTGAGTTCCTAGGTGTCACTGGATTATATATAACTACTCTTTCTCACATCAGAAACATGGTAGACAAATTTGAGATAAATTTGCATTCAACTTAAACTGACTCAAGATTTCATAATCTGCTAAATCTACAAGTCATCTTTATCTTATTTATGAACATTTTCCTGAGACTAAATCTTTTCTAGTTTTCCATTTTAATTCTTGGACTCCACTAAGTTTATTAAAAGTTCCTAAAAAGCAAAGAAATAAAAGCAACTCACCAGAGATCCATTCATTTTTCTGTTGCTGTTGACAATGTAGAGAAGATTTTGAGAGTATAGCTGGGAGAGAAGGCAAATAAAATGGAGTCAGGAAAGAGCCAATGTGGCTTTGTCTCAGATTCTTGCTCAAGACACTACACACAGAAGGAGGAAAAAAAAAAAAGACCTTCCTGTGGGAGAAGACACTTTCATGGCTGAAGTAGACACAATATATTCTCCATTAAAGATGTATCCACAGAACAGTAGATATCATAAATGTAATTCATTTCTAGATGAGGGAACAATTAATGTTCCCTCAAAAATAATTAAATAATATAAATCAAAGAAAGAGATACAATATCTTATATTAATATTAGTAATTATAGAAATGCACTTAGGAAAGTATGAGTTATTTTCCTGTCAATGTAAGGATATCACATAAGATTCTATTGAATATTTCACTCTGTTTTGGAATACTTAAGTATCAGGGAAAGCATGTTTGTTACAACTTAGCATTTTTCACTCAGAATTTAGGGAAAAAATATATAGGCTTCCTCTTCCAATAATGGCTCCCAGATAGCACATCTTTCTCTACCCAAAGTAGCCTGAAGCATTTGGTCTGGATTTGCCATTTAACTTGCTTTAGGCAAAGGTATATCAATAAACATGGGAACAAAAGTTTGAAAAATTCCTTACTGCCTGCCTCCCTGAACACAATCATACTGTGAAGAACCTTGCTATTCTGCTGGATATACAGGAGCCAGCACATACAGCAAAACATCCCGCCATTTCACTTGTTTAAAGTTTTGTGGAGCTACATTTTGGGCTGGACTCATTATTGCATTTCTGTTAGGATTGTTTCTTTAGAAGATTAGGCCTTAATCATCTGGTTTCCTTACTCAGGATGGTTGGTTTTGGATGCTATCACTAGTAATTTCTGCTGGCTCTTAGACTTTCCTGCTTGGGGTGGCTTTGAACTGTGATCCTCATATCTCAGTCTCCTTAGTAGCTAGGATTACAGGCATGAGCCACCGACGCCCCTCACAAGTCAAGAACTTTTAAGCAACCCACTTGGATCAAAAAGATCACTTTTTCTCAAAATACCTCCTTCCTTCTTATCTCTGTTCCATACTTCCTTCCCTTCCTCACTGTATCCATCCCCTTTCTTTCCTTCTTTCTTCTCCATATGCTCTATCATGGGCCGTATGTGCTGGGTGGTTTACTACATAGTGCTGATATCATCCACGCCTCTGTGTTTTTTTTAACAAAATTATGTAGGAGACAAAGTTTTGGGATAATATGAAGTGAACTTTCCAGCCACAAGGAGGAAAAATCCAAATTATCATGAAAGTCTATTATGGGGAATTAACTGAGGTTGCTGCTGCTAGTAAACACTAAGTGAATCATTAAAAAGGAATATATGGGAAGTGGTGCTGGGGCTCCAGCGGTAGAGCCCTTGCCTTGAGCTGAAGAGCACAAGGACAGCGCCCAAGCCCAGAGTTCAAGTCCCACAACTGACAAAAAATGAAACAAAATAAAAAGCAACATATGCATTTTAGTCTTAACATTTTCTCCATCACAATAAAGTTTTTTTTTGTTTATTTTTTTGGGTCCGGTTGTGGGGCCTGAACTCTGGGCCTGGGTGCTGTCCCTCAGCTCTTCAGCTCAAGGCTAGCGATCTACCACTTGAGCCACAGCGCCACTTCCGGCTTTTTTTCTTTTTGCTTATGTGGTGCTGAGGAATCGAACCCAGGGCCTCATGCATTACAAGGCAAGTGCTCTACCATTGAGCCACCTTCCCAGCCCCAAAGGTTTTTTTTTTTTAACTTCACAAAACATAAAATAGCTAGGCACTGTTGGCTCACACCTATAATCCTAACTACTCAGGAAGCTGAGATCTGAGGATCGCAGTTAGAAGTCAACCTGGGCAAAAAGTCCCCATGAGACTCTTATTTCTAATTAACCACTCAAAAGCTGGAAGTGGTACTGTGGTAAAGGACTAGCCTTGAACACAAAGAGGCTCAGAGACAGCACTCAGGCCCTGAGTTCAAGCTCCACAACCAACAAAAATAAGTAAAATAAAATAAATTTGTTATAGGCTAAATATCTCAATTAGGGAACTAGAATTTTCATAGATTTCATGGGGGAGTGTGTTTTTATTTTGTTTTCAATTCTGGGCAGCCATACAGCAAAAACTTTACAGTTTCATGTTACAGAATTTCCATTTAAAAATGTAATCTTTAGCCAGGCGCTGGGCTCATGCCTGTAATCCTAGCTACTCAGGAGGCTGAGATTTGAAGATTGAGGTTCAAAGCCAGCCCAGGCAAGAAAGACCATGAGACTCTTATCTCCAATGAACCACAAGAAAACCAGAAGTGGCACTGGCTCAAGTGGTAGAGTACTAGCCTTAAGCTGAAGAGCTCAGGGACAGAACCCAGGCGCAGAGTTCAAGCCCCGTGAATGACAAAAAAAAAAGAAAGAAAAAGAAAAAAAAGAAAGGAAATAAAATCAGCATATTTCAAGTAAAGTATTTTGAAACATTGACTTCAATCACCTCCCTCTCTTCAAAAAAAATCCCTAGGGGCTGGGAAGGTGGCTCAGTGGTAGAGTGCTTGCCTTGCATGCCTGAGGCCCTGGGTTCCATTCCTCAGCACCATATAAGCAAAAAGAAAAAAGCTGGAAGTGGCGCGGTGGCTCAAGTGGTAGAGCGCTAGCCTTGAGCTGAAGAACTGAGGGACAGTGCCCAGGCCCAGAGTTCAGGCCCCATGACTGACCCCCCCCAAAAAAAATCCCTAAACTGAAAAAATACTACTTTTGAGAGATTTTAACAAAATGGGTAACACTAGCTAAATCTTCGGGTTACTTAACATCTACAAACCATACAATCTTGAGCAAGCTATATCACCTTAAGTTTTGTCATTTTTGTTATAAAGCATTAAGGTCCCTAGCAAGCATTTCCTGAATTGTCAGACAAATCATCAGGTAAAACCAAATACCAGTACATCTCTAAAAGGCATATTTAATAACAAGATACGTTTGAGAGAGCTTGCATTCTAGAAATGATACTGGGGTTGACTGAATCAATGAGACTGGAATTAGGGTACTTGTAGAGACAGATTCTTTCAGGTGTGACAAGGTGTCTCTCCACTACAAACCACAAACCACTGCCTCCTACCCCTCTGAGAATTCAGCTCTGGCTCATTCCCCAGTCTAGCGCACTTCTCCTCTCGCCAAGTTGCAGAGTTGGGAGCTTTGTAGAAGAGTCCCACGTGAATCTTGTGCTATGGAAAGCAGCGGCAATAATTACTAAGTTAATGAGATCCTTCCCTCTTGTGCTTCTCTGCCTCTGCCCTTTAGGATAGCAAGTGTTCTTTCAGGATGCACACTCCTATTCAGAATCTGCCCTCCTTCAAATTTACCATGCTTACTTAATTCCAAAGAATACAAGTCCATCAGCCAGTTCTCCAATATCCTATAAACAACTTTCTCTAGAAACTAGGTCGTGTACAAACGTGTAAACTGGAGCCAGGAGTGCTAAGCCGGCTACGTGGTGTAGGAGGGAACTAGAAACGTTCCACGGTAATTCCACTGCCATATCACATGACTCGTCCAACACACATTTCACAACTGCACTACAGTTGTGACTGCGTCCATCTTTCAGCAAGGCAACAGCAATGAGGATGTCACCTCGGTTCACAGCAGAATCAGGCGTGGAACAGAAGCGCAGGCCTCCCCAGCTCTCCTAGTCTGCACAACCTTCTAGCCTGCCCGCGAACCTTCCCGAGCCAGCTAGGTTCCGGCACCTGGAAGGACACTGATTCT